GATCAACAGCAATTCTTTTGGATCAACAGCAACAACATATGTGAGGAAGGCTGAACTTGGTGGACGCAAGTCTCTTTTCAGCTTTGTAACTATGTATGCCTGTCTGGTCTGGACACAGCCAGAGCATTCTATGAAATGAACTTAACCCACCGAGAGCTAGACATGAGATATTCGAGTGAGAGTCATGAGGTGATGGTGCTGCTCTGAATACGGAAGTACAGTTTAGGATATGAATTAATCTAGGAGGAATCCCAAACCGGATGCAGACCTGTTTCCTCTGCCTGATGACACTGTAACTGCATCATCTCATTGAGGTGGTTATAGTGTCTATCATCCCCTGGCACTGTCCTCCAGGAAAAGGTCATATTAATAATCTTATAACATGGGAATTACTGTCCATCTGATAAATTCCTTCTAGAGCTGCCCTTTAAGTCATGATGTATTCAGAGAGAGGGAAATATTTCCTTATTTTTTAGCAGACCTCATTTTGGGTTGAATATTCTTAGGACAGCTTGTTAGCTGGCCAGGGAGAGGGACTCTAATTCCCTGGTGGTCCAGTGGATGGGCTGTGTAGGAGGGGGGCTGGCAGCGAGCTGTAACTTACCTTTCCTGCAGCTCCCTTCTCCTGCATTCTGGTCAGCTCCACTGTAAGTCTCGCGGTCTGAGTGCCGCGCGGAGCGTTGCCACGGTAACCCGTGGCAAGGCTCTGACCCCGCAGCTCTCGCGAGACTTACAGTGGAGGAGAAGGGAGCAGACCGGAATGCAGGAGAAGGGAGCTGACAGGAGCTGCAGGAAAGGTAAGTTCCAGCTCGCTGCCAGCCCCCAACAGGACCGCCGGGCTCATTACAAGCCAGCGGCCCTTGTCTGTATTATGGCAATGTTAGTTGCCATAATACAGACACTGACTCGAGTATAAGTCGAGTGGGGGTTTTTCAGCACAAAAAATGTGCTGAAAAACCTCAACTTATACTCGTGTATATACGGTAAGTCAGACTTTTGCAGAGACACTTACTCCATGTACCAATTAAAGTACAAAATAGAGGCTTTTCTTCTCTCTAAAACGCTTTTAAAAGAAACCACTAGGGGGAGATAAAATGCCACTATTAACCGCATGACTGTGTATGTTGGATCAGGTAGACAGACACCAGAGGCAGTCTTAACCCTTTAATTGCAATTTCTCTAAAACAAGATTTACATTGCAGGACTAAGGGGGGCAGGGACACTTCAATGAGATGAAGTGGGCTGGGTGCCCATAATGTTCCTTTAACCCCTTAAAGGACACATGACAGAAATATATATGTTAACCAGCTCCTTCCCCTCCCTATCAGACAGTCTGCCAGTATATTCATATGGGCTGCATAGTATTCCAGTCAATGAGAATGAACTTAGAAATTCACGGTCACTGACTGGGAAATGCACAAATGTGAATATACTAATGGCTGCCCCCATATTAAATAAAAAGCAGTCTTCCATTGGCAAAAAAATAAAAATATGCATCTTCCATCATTTTCACTTATTATATTCTACCTTCCTTACACCAACAGGTCCTAAACTGTTTTTTAAAGCAGGTCCGAGTTTATAATTAAATCTGTCACCATGTTTGTATAACTGTTATATTCATTTTTATTTACACACATGGTCCTCTTTACCTTGTGTATGTTCTTTGTATATTTCACTGTCTTATTTAAGTACAGTGCTGCGGAATATGTTGCTAGTAATAATAACAACTTATTTTATATAAGTGTTACAATTTGTTTTAAAAACACTTTCTGTAGAAAATTCCTTGTAATTAGATCACTTGTGAAGATAAAAACACAGTAATTAGCAACTTATCTCTAGCAATACAAACCGCAAGAGATCCAGCAATTCAGTCAAAATAGGAGACGTATTGAAAATCCAAAATATGTAACTAGCATTTTCTATGCAGCATGTAAAAAAAAGTAACACAAAGATATTAGAACTATTTCACAGTAACTCAGTATTATGCGGATATACTGAATATTACCTCCAGAATATTCTGAAAATGACATCCCGGATCACAGGGCCAGAATTGTACAGAATTTGTTTCATACAAAGACCCCTTAATCCTGCTCTAAATCCTTTTAACGAAGTACCATGGTCTGACCGTAGTAAATAGAATCACTCAAATAGTTAACCAGGTCAGCCATCGATGGTTGCCAAATCGCCCCTTATAGTATTTCTCTGAAAGAGTTAAACAAATTGGCTATTAACGGCTGCCAAATCCCATTTTTCGCCCTATTTTTGGGGACTCTGGACTTCCTTTCAAAAATACATTTACTTTGCATGCTCTAAAAGTATCGCTTACAGAGAGCATCTTCTGAAAGGCCCCTTCTGAAGCTGTCTCTGTCACAGGGTCTCACTTTCCCACAGGGGGACACACAAAGGCACAGCAGAAAAGGCTGACATACTTCAGCAGTGAGATGGGACCACCCAGACAGACTCCGAGTGAAGAGACTGACCGGAGGTGAGATCAGAAACTTTATACTGAGTGAAGAGACAGACCATAGGATGAGATCAGATGATATTACCAAAACAAACCGAGAGAGGTTAACAGCTGCCAACAGCTATCATGCAGGATTCCTTACTGGGCCACAGAGCTTACAATCTATGAACTGCCTGGGCACAGCAGATCTATTTACGCAGTGCAGGTTTTTTGTGGTTGTAATAACTGTTGACTGTAGGAGGATTTGCCAGGTTATGACAGTCTAACCACTTCCTGATGATTTGCGGTCACTTTCTCCACGCGCAGCAGGCACTGTACGGAAACGAATCAGCCAAGGAGGCACACATTTCTTTAGTGGCCTTAAATTAAGATTATAGTCTGAGTTCTTGAAGTGTTACAAGGTTCTATAGTGTAGACTGCCAATAAGATTACACTATGGGGTGCAGCAATGGGAAGTGGTAACTCGCTGCAAGTGTCATCTCTCCATCTATAACGGCAGCCCAGTACTGGTAGGAATTGGTATAATAAAAACCAAACTAGAAAAGCTACAATTTCTGGGGAAATTGTGTGAAGTGTTCTTGCCTCCACCAGTAGTCTACAACTGGAGTGGGCGGAGTAACTGTTATCATTTATATAGCACATTTAATTGCAACGTTGTTGCACAGTTACATTAAACCATACATTTATAAAAACATTAGCAGGTGTTCAAAAGGCCCTGTCTATGACATCACTTGCTGCTGCTGCCTGGCACAGGTCAGAGAATTTTGGCGGTTGCCATCTTCAAATGGTCGTTGTGACGAGACCAATCTCGCCACATTGCATTGGAGAAGCCTGGTTGCTCGCCTGCTGCCTTTGGACTATGGCCCCCTTTTAAAAGACTTTATTTTTGCCTGCAGAAAAGCTGTATTCGTGCTTTTCTGCCTGGGGTTCAGTAGAGTTGTTTGAATGTGTTATACCCCAGATAGGAATCCCATGGAGCCCATTTGTATGAAACTGACTGTAAAGACTTTGGCTCCATGGCGATTAAACTGTATTCGTGTGGTCTGAGCGCCATTCACTTAATAATGTGCGCTCCGACCTGAGCTATCTGGGGATATGTTACATGTCTGTGTTTTATGTAATAAATGTGACTTTATGTATTTTAAAGTGTTTTGTGTCTTTTTGCAACCATGTGCTTAATGGAGTCTTGTGTCTATCCTGGGAGATAATTGAATTACTTATCTCAGGATAGAAGACTCTGAAACTGGTTTGGGCCAGAAAGCCATGCTTCATTTAGTCACAAAGGACTTTTTACTAACTTTTGAACCCCTTGTCTGATTTGTGCCATTTTGAATATGTTGTTCCCCTGAATGGATTGATTGTGCATATGTAATTTTATGTGAATGTGATGTATGGTTTTAGAGTTATGAAAGTTGGGTAGAAAGTATGTTTTAACTGTATGTATAATTGAGTTTCCTCTCAGGATAAGGGGAGGGAATATGTGGGATGTAACTGTGATGGGATTGGTTGTTTTATACCTCCCTGTGGGCGGTCCTGTATTTGCAAGACTGTAATAAAAACCAGGCTGGGTGTGCCAGCACCTCAGACCACTGCTTGACCCTCAACACGGAGCCTTGTCTCGTTCTTGGGGGATTCACTGTATG